GTCAGTATGTCGGGCCTAGTGGATGTGGCTTTATGATGCGAAGCCCGCAACCCTTGCAATACTGCTTGGGTTTGGGGAGTAGGGTTCGGGGTTCAGGGTTTAGGGTTTAGGGTTTAGGGTTTAGGGTTCCTATGGATCTTAGGTAGTATGGGGGCCTTAGCAGGATTAGCATAGGGTTTCTGGGTGGATGACACCATGGATATGTAATTAGGAACACTAAGGAATAGTATTACCGACTTCTCCCCAAAGGTCCGGCCTCTACTGCTGAGAAGCTTTGGACAAACATAATCTGCATAGTGCGGGGCTGTGTGAATCAACCATAGGGTCGTTATTGGGGATACTGACTGTGCTGTACTGTACTGTACTGTACGCTCGATAGAACCGAGTTGGGGTGTAGGGGCAAACATGAAACCCTATCGAACCACAATGCAAAGTCCTTCTTGCCCATATCCAGCTGCCACCAGGGATTGTTTTCGCCACGTCCTGGCCAGCGATGTGCGGTTCTTGGGTTCAATCTCACAAATGAACCGACTAGCCGCAACGAAGGAGGATGAGCGCAGATGTGTCACAACTAAGTCCGGAATCCCAAATCAGTGCTCTGAAACCCTTCCTTGAATTACCATGACCTGTTTCTTGTCAAGTCTTGTTGCCGAACCTTTGTACTTGCCAGCACCCCAGCCCTTCAAAGAAACAGAACCAAGCAAACAACAACAGCATTCTGGCGGCAATAAACGCAACCCCAATCCCCATTCCTGAAGTGTGCGCCGAATGTACCAGGCGCAAGGCCGCAAGGCAAGGAAACGACAGCAAAGGGTCCCGGGCAACCTCGCATGATACAATTCAACCCAACTAGATGACGACCAACGTCAGCACGCTTTAGTGCCCCAAAATACTACTCTCTGCCCTTGTTCTGGAGTATATATAACTAATGCCCCGCCCTATCATACTATAGGGGCCACACAACAACTAAACATGCCAACCCCTACATTAGGCTTGTTGGATGGCTTTCTGGGATTTGGATTGAGAACTCCGGACTGTAGGCATTGCAACCAACCGGTCAAGAGATTGGGGGATATTGCGGGGTTAAGGCTTTTTAGTGGAACTTCGGAAGATTGCCCCGATAGATCCACGGACTCAAGTCGTAGCCAGCTGTTTGCTGAGGGATGGGGTCTTCTGAAAGGGATTCGTAAAAGGGCTCTATAAGCGATAATCATAGGGTTGAATGTTAGGGGCCTTGATAATTAGAAGGGGATTTTGGGGCCCAATATACTACAACTGTTCAGCCCAGGCATCACTTGGCATGCTCAGGGACTTGGTGCTGCAAAGGTGCACACCTTTGCTGTTTCGGGTCTACCTAGGCTCTAGAAATCCTAGATGTTTCGGGTTCCTCATTATGAATTCCGTGTATAGGATTATGTAGGATTAGGAAAGGAAAGATGGGGTCCATCGAGGTTTAGAGGTTAGGAGTCTTGGGCTTCAAGCTTCGGGTGTAGGCTCCTTGTGTCCACTTCGTGATGCACCGCGTGTCGCTTTTGCGATCGTTGCATTTCTCCGCGTCCGCGTCCTTGGAGTACGTGGAGCCTTAGTGGCTGTTGGGAAAGGAACAAGGTGTAAACTTTGAGCTCCTAAACTGGGCTGAAAACCCTAAAGCCTAGGCGCAAACCCTGAATCAAGCGGCTTGACCTTTGAACTCTAATCCCCAAACCCTGCATCCGGAAACTGCCATCCGAAACATTTCACGGTTGCGAGTCATTCCCAAAATCTCAAACAATAAACCCAGCGCCCTGACCCCGGCATGAAATACTACTACTACTACTACTA